TTGTTCATGAGGTCTTGCACCATCTCAAAAATCGCCGCCAGGGTAGAAAGTACGACATGATGATGAAAATGGACATGCGGAAGGCTTATGACTTGGTGGATTGGGAGTGCCTCTTTTCCCTCCTTCAAGCGTATGGCTTTAATCAAACATGGTGTGAATGGATTATGGAATGTGTCAGAACTGTGAGGTTTTCCATCCTCATAAATGGAGGTGCTACGGAGTTCTTCACACCCTCGAGGGGTATCCGCCAAGGTGATCCTATCTCCTCCTTTCTCTTCATCCTTATGGCTAATGCTTTGTCTTTTTTGTTGGATAAAGAAACTTCGCAGGGAGCGATTCATGGCCTGAAATTGAAGCCGAGTTGCCCAAGGCTGTCACATTGCTTACTTGCCGACAATACAGTCATCTTTGGGGAGGCTTCAGTGGAGGAGGCAGCTAAGATTATGAGCATAATCAACGGATACAGTCATATTACCGGGCAAGAGGTGAACTTGGAGAAGTCCTCGGTCGTTTTCAGCAAGAACACTCCGGATTCTCTAAGAACCCAGATCGCTGCCCATATTGGATTCCCGCCGACTATTACTCATGACAAATATTTGGGGGTTCCGACGGAGTGGGGACGGTCCAGGAAAGAAACTTTCAGATTCCTCCTCAGCCGAATGGAGAAGAGAGGAGAATCATGGAAGAGCTTGTTGCTGTCTCGGGGGGGGGGGGGCAAGGAGACTCTGCTCAAGTCAGTCATTCAAGCAATCCCCACCTTCATTATGAGTGTCTTCCTACCACCATTGTGCCTGACTATGAAGATGGACTCTTTGCTGCGTAATTTCTTGGTCTGGGAAGATGCAAAAAAGGGCCTCCATTGGTGTAAGGGCCAAATCCTTTGCGATCCAAAAGCAGATGGTGGCCTGGGATTTCGCAATTTCCATATCTTCAATTTAGCTCTTATTGCTAAGCAAGGATGGAGGTTGTTGAATGAGCCAGAATCCTTGTGGGCACGTCTTCTTCGAGGATTGTATTTCAACAATGGGGATTTTCGCTCAGCAAGGAAAGGGAGCTCTCCGTCATGGATTTGGGCAAGTCTTTGTGATGCACATCAAGCCCTCGACATCGGCTTAATTCAGGTTATTGGAGATGGAGATGGAACTTGGATTAACAGGGATCCCTGGATTCCAAATATGGATGGCCACTGCCTTTCTACTGTTGTTGACCCTTCTCTCAGAGTCAGTGATTGGATTAATGTTGAGGAACGAGGATGGAACCTTGACTTAATCCAACAACAGTGCTCTCCACAGGAAGTTGATGCTATTTCTCGAGTTCCTTTTGGCCCTCTCAATACGAATGATAAATGGGCATGGCGGCTTACTCCCAATGGTGCCTTCTCAATGAGAACATCATATCATGGCCTTCGTGCACATTTGCGAGAGGCCGACCCAGCTTTAGTGGACCTCAATATACCGACAAGTGATGAGGTGTGGAAGTGGCTCTGGGCGATCAATTTACCCCCAAATATCCGCTTTTTCCTTTGGAGATGCATTCGAGGAGCGCTTGCTACCAAAGAGAAGCTGCATAACCGGAGACGCTCCCCAGGTAAGAAATGCCAAATCTGCGGAACTCAGGTTGAATCGGCTATCCATTTCCTCTTTGTTTGCCCTCCTCCCAACTTGGCTAATTGGATCTGTGGCATGCGAGAAGAACCGGATCTTGCGATCACAAGGAGAAAGGTTTTGTCTTTGGAATATTTGGAAGGCCTGAAATGGCTTCATCTTTCGAAATGAGACAGCGTCCCCGGTGTCCTCCTCCTTTCAAGCTTTTCGAGATGCAGCTGAGCCTCAGACGATGGTCACTTCCTCGTCTCTCGTTTCACAGCCCAGGGACGATCATCAACAACCGTGTCCACCGCCAACAACACTCACGAGAAGGATTTATTGTGATGGTTCTTTCGATCCTATTTCAAGAGAGGCGGCTTATGGGGTGGTTATTACTAACCCACATGGACAGTTTGTGGATGGTAAGGCTGGACGGATTGTTTGTTCATCCCCTATAGAGACTGAAGCCTATGCTTTGTTGGAAGCATGTAAGTTGGCGATGAGAGAGCAGGTCCCATCAACTATTTTTTCAGATTGTAAAGCTCTAGTGGATGCTCTGAAGAACCACTCAGATTTGTGGCCCTGGAATTGCTACGCCATCCTCTCCTCCATTCAACGAATTATCCAGGTGTCCAATTGGATCAACATTGCTTTCACTTGCCGACGGAACAACAAAGAAGCAGACTGGATTGCACGAGATGCTAGATTAAACACCCTCCACCAGGACTGGTTTGTTGTTCTTAATATTATCTCTGCTATCCTGTAATTGTACCAACCTCTAAGGGAATGAATGAATGAATGTTTTCTTCAAAAAAGAAAGACTGAGAGAGAGAGACAGCCTACGTGGGCCCACGCAGTCAGGCGTCGCGGTTTTACTTTTACCCGGACCCGGGAAAATTTTCAGGAGTCGGGAACGGTGGTTACTTTCCTACATTCTGTTTCGATCCTTGCTCGTCTCTCTCACCGTCGCTGATCTAAGCATCACAGTCACTTGCTTTCGGGATCGAGGGAAGGTGACTCTCCACCGAGAACGATTTTCGCTGCCTTTTCTTTCCCGCCCTTCCTTCCACCGTCGCCATTCGTTTATTCGTTTCTCTCCTACTTTCGTCTTCGTTTCGGAGTTCCGACTGATGTTGGCTATGTTTTATTAGTAAGCTGTTGAAGTTTGTATAGTGCAATCCTCTGCAGGTGAAGGCAAGATTCGAAGATGTTGTGGGTGGACAAGTACAGACCCAAAACCCTAGCCAAAGTGATCGTTCATGAAGACATCGCCCAAAACCTCAATAAACTAGTACTCGTTCACTACTCTTGACGGTTCATTGAACTCTTTTTCTTTTGTCCCTTGTTCGTATTGTTATTCTGACTTCTTACCCTCGAATTGCTTTTCAGGTAGCCGAGCAGGATTGCCCTCATTTGCTCTTCTATGGCCCTTCTGTGTTTGGGAAGAAAACTCTAATCATGGGTTTGCTCCGTCAAATATATGGCCCTGGTGTTGAAAAGGTGAAACAGTTTACTATATCTTGTTTCCCTTATTGGGGTTGAAATCATTGCATGTGCTCAGTAGGAGAACGAAGCAGTACAGTTCCTTTCCTAATCTGCTAATGGCTGGATATTTTTTAGGTGTAGGTGGAGAATAGGACATGGAAAGTCGATGTAAGTATAAATCGTTTATTTATCTAAACATTATGCTCTCCCCGTGCACTTGTATTTTGGCTTAGTTTTCGTGATGGCGATTGTACTGGTTTTGCTCATTATACTTGGATTGAACAACTAAAACATAACTTTGCTGTTGAAAATGTTAGATGTGACCACAGTAGGCTATCGCGAAAATGGTCATTCCATTTCTCTCTGCCCACAGATGCACCCTTTAGCCTTTTGAGGTTTTCATTTCTTTCTCTGATTTTTCACCAATGTGTGTTTATTACCTTTTGGTTGTCAATCCATGGTGTTTCAGGCTGGCAATAGAGCAATTGATCTCGAGTTGACTACATTATCAACTGCAAACCACGTGGAATTATGTCCTAGTGATGCGGGCTTCCAGGATAGATATATTGTGCAGGATGTTATCAAAGAGATGGCCCGGAATAGGGCAATTGACTCGAAAGGAAAGAAAACATTCAAGGGTAATTGATTCTTCCTGTCTCATGTGATTTGTGCATACCTTCTGTTTTGTTCTTTTTGGTACTGCTTTTTTGTTACTTTTACTACTTATAGACGTAGTCTTTTTGTGTAATTGAAGTGGCAAGTATAGAAGTGAGAGAGAGAGGCATATACAACATACCGGATTTGGTTTCCTCATGTTGTTTAACAAAATCGTTCATATATATCTGAATTAGTGATCATTAGACTAGGGAGCATGTAGCTAATAATAGCAAAATGGAGTTGCTGGATCTCTGTTTGTGCTGAGGTATGTTTTTTTGTTTTCCATCAGTGGTAGTGCTTAATGAGGTTGACAAGCTTTCAAGAGAGGCTCAACATTCTCTACGAAGAACTATGGAGAAATATAGCACTTCCTGCCGGCTAATTCTCTGCTGTAACAGTTCTTCGAAGGTTACTGAAGCTATTCGTTCCCGTTGTCTGAATGTTCGAATAAATGCTCCTGCACAGGAACAGGTTGGAAATTTTCTTTTTCTTCAATGGTGTTAAACTGAACTGTCTATTCCTTGGCTTCTTTTTGCCTTAGTATTTTGCCTTCTGTGGAATTTATTATAACAGATAGTTAGGGTCTTGGACTTTATCGGGAAGAAAGAAGGGCTGGAAGTTCCACCTGGATTTACTGCTCATATTGCTGAAAAATCAAATCGAAGTTTAAGGAGAGCCATACTCTCATTCGAGACTTGTCGGGTTCAACAGTTAAGCTCTAGTTCTCTAAACTATGTGTACTTTCATTCATTTAAATCTGTTCTTTTGTATGTTAATATTTCTACCCCTCTTATGATCTAGGTACCCTTTCAAAAATTATCAAGAAATCTCTCCATTGGAGTGGGAAGAGTATGTTTCCACCTTATCCTCCGACATAATGAAGGAGCAGAGTCCTAAAAGGTATGACAGAGAAAACGAACATTATGTCCATAGCTTTCAAAGTTGTGGCTTCTCTTTCCTCTAGATTCTAATCATACAACCTCTTGAATTTGATAGATTGTTTGAGGTTCGAGGAAAGTTGTATGAGCTACTAGTCAACTGTATTCCTCCTGAGATTTTGTTGAAGGTAGAGAAGTTTCCCCATATAATCTTTCCGTTCTCATTATTCTGAGTCCATCTAATGAATGATGTCATTTTTGTTCTGAACAAAGACTTCTATATGAGTTACTGAAGAAACTGGATGATGATTTGATGCATGAGGTCTGTCATTGGGCTGCATATTATGTAAGTTCATAGAATGCGATTGGGTCAGAAAGCCATATTTCACCTTGAAGGTAATTTCAGATCATACATTCTAGACTCTACTATACTTATAATACGCGGAAGGGGAAAACAGCTTCCCCATTTCAAATTTGCTGCCTCCGGAGCGTTTCTCGGAGGGTTATTTTCGGATACGGGAAATATACATCGGCTCATATTGGGACGGTGAACGGGCCTGCGATTTTTTTTTGGTGAGTCGGAGCAGCGCTGTCCCCGGTCAGTGTCTTCACCGCCGAAATCAGTAAGCGCGCTCTCTCCGTCTAGCTTCTTCACCGCCGAAATCAGAACCCAAGGAATTGGTGATGCAGTCCCACAACCGTCACTCCCGCAGCGATTGTCCTTCCTCACAAGAATAGGATATCGCCATCTCGACTTCTCTCTCCCACATCTCCAGTTGGATCCATTTCTTTGGTGTTGTTCTCCCTCTCAACTCGAGAACTTCGCTATATCCATCTTCCTTCCGTTCGATCAATAACCTGCTAGAGCAACAGCCAATCCGTCAGCGCCGGCCTGTATGTTTCTATTCGACTGGTTCTATGGAATTCTGGCATCTCATGGGTTCTTCCATCTTCCTTCCTTCACATGTTGAAAGACGAGGTTTGCTTCTTTCTTCCCTTTGATTTCAGGTTTTTATTTTCTAGGTCCAATCGATTCAAAGGAATCTAGATTTAATATATGGTGGCCTTTTGGCGGGGGATCTGTTTGCTTATCGCTCGGTGCGTATCACAGAGACTATCGGAAACCATCAGCTGTTCTTTGATGGTTTGTTCTATCTCTTTCTTCCTCACAATGTTGTGTTTGATTCCTTTTTAGGCGGAGATAACACCGACGAGGTGCAGAAGTCGGATTCAGCAAAAAACAATTAAGACTAGGTGATTGAGTGTGAATGAAAATCTTAAAGTGCTGATTGTTTTGGGGTTTCATAAGTAGATAGTATGAGGATGAGGTTGATGGAAGACGAGTTCGTTGAATCCAGTCTGAGGTTGATATGCTGTGATCCAAATCTCTGGTGGGCATGCACAGAAAATTGCCCATTAAGAAATTTGGTGTTCCAGTTACACGGCCAACCTCTGACTTTTGTTGATTCTTCTCTCTCTGGTCAATTATTTCTTTCATGTTTCTTTGTTGGGTTTGTTCCCTTTTCTTCAATCAAAAGGGTCTGCTTTGTCTCTTTCCCAGGGAAATAACTTCAATGGCAATGGCGGTACTAGGCAACAGAGTACCTGGAAAAGTGGTGTGCTGACACCAACACTCTGTAGATTGCAGCAAGGAAAAATAGATTTGCAGAGCTCAAGGACAATTATGGGGCACTAGAGCTTGCCCTGGAAATCAATACGAGTTCGAATCAGAAAATGTTGCCAGCTGCATGTTCTATTTGCTCTATAGACTATATACTCAAGGATCCTTACAGAAATATTGATGATGGTTTGTTCAACTTGGATTCTCTCTTCTTTGGATGCCTCTTTTTTTTGTATAAGATGATCTCATTATAATAATTGGATAAGATGATCTCATTATAATAATTGGATAGTGAATGAGATACAAAAGCAACAACACAAGGCAAAACATACCTCTTTATTTGCTTTGTTAAAGTTCTTAGTCTTGCTGTGACTCTCATTGATGCATTCCTTATTGTCCATTCGTTTGTGGGGAAGAAACTCTAGCGGATTGGAGTTTATGTTATGTTGAACCGAACTGTAACCTTAAGTAGTAGATATATGTTATGTTTCATTTCTCACCTCACCATTTTTCAGTGAATTTAAATACTACATAATGAATGCAGGTTCTTTCCTCAGAATTCCGTTCCGGGTTCTTCCATCAGAAGTCCTTCAATACATCCCTCTTTACTACTTTTTTCTTTGAGGTAATAGTTGTTTCTGTAACCCTATTATGATGCCTTTGACAGCCCACAGAACATCAATGCCTCCAACATTTAGAATTTGTGTGATATAATGATCCATGTATTTGTGGTGGCTTCACAGGTTCCCATAAATACTTTTTCAGTAGTATGTTGCTCCCCAAGACCCCAACTGAAGTGGTTTCATACAAATAATCTGGTGCAATGCACTTTTATTTATGTACAAACACAACAATGTGTTATCCTAAAGAACTCAGAAAGTTTCCTGTAAGTGCTAACCACTTTACATTTGTGGTATGTTCCTTTTATGTTCTCCACTCACTATTTAGATTGAACTGAGTTTTCTCTAGAAAAGCAGTGCTAATGTTTGTGTACATTAGACCTTTTTATTAAACATGATGAACTGTGTTTCATTTTTCTCGAGGGTTACTCTGCTACGATTGTTGGTTTTAGACTGGTGATTTTTGGCTGAGAATATCGGAGTAGGAATTTGCTTAATGACATACATACACTTGATTTGAAACTCTGATTTGGGAATCAATGGAAACCATGTAAGCAATTTTTATTCTCTTAAAAATTTTGGTTGTCCTAAATTATGAATTAAACTCTTATGCTCTGCCTTCACATGAAGTTTTGGTTTTTAACAATTCCTTTGAACTCTTAGTTTTGGGACTGATTTTGCCTTTTTTGTAACAATTTATGGTTAGTTACTCTAGCTTTTATGCTTTCTTACAGAATTTTTGTTGTAATGCTTTTTTCTTCTTCATGGAATTAATGCTAAGCTGTAATTGTACAAAGGGGTTAGTTACCCTATAGCTTGCTGAACTGTTTCATTTGCTGTAATTGTTGTTGGGGATTTAGGGTGTCATTTGTTGTAATTGATCTTCTCCATTTGCTAAGCTGTGATTTAACAATAAGGGGTTAATTACCATGTACATAAACGTTTGGTTCATACTGGACATATGCAGGTCACTCTTGAAGTCCCCCTTTATTCTTCAATAAGGGGCTGGTAGGATAGACCAGGCTCTTATTATTATGGTTATAATGATTCCTTACTAAATAGCACTGTTTAAAAAAAAAATTCCAAAAATAGCAACCAAGCATACCAAGGTGTAGATAATCACTCCATGTTCAATACAAGCCATTAAACTTGAATTTCCATTGAGCCAATTGAGAGAAACTTGCCTCCAAAATTGGCTACTTGAACACGGAAAATGACACTGACAGAAATGAATGTTCTTCAGGCAGCTTGAGCTTGCTTCTTCGTCAAGTAATTCCAACTTGCAGAGTGGCCTATTTGGGATCATATCACACATTACTAAAGAGACTGTCAATTCAAAGCATATTGAGCAGGCAATTGCAAGGAACACGTACTTGGAGCCCTCAAATTTAAAAATTTGGATAGTGGACTATGCTCGAAGCACACAAACAGATCTAATGCAGTCAAATGAGAACACCCCCCACACTTAAGTTCGACATTGCCCTCAATGGAGAAGAGGGAAAGATAAGGGGAACGATGTTACCGGTGTGTACGGACTACATGAGACTGGAAGGGGACCAGTCGGGGCGAAGCTGACTGGAGAGAGAACTAGTCAGGTACATAGGCACAGCTAAAGAGAACAGAAGAACTCCAACACAATACGTTAGGTCCAATGGTCAGCCCAATATTACATCATCCAAAACGAAAGAAAACAAACCAAAGCAAAAGCTATTGGCAATCCGAACCAAAACAAAAGAAATAAATGAAAACCGTGGTGGGGTTGCCTCCTCACAAGCGCTTCTTTACCGTCTTATAGCTGGACGTCCATGGTGGATACTCAAAGGGGTGCAGGAACAGGTGCCTCCAAGAGCGGATCGACATCGCCCTTGAGGTACAACTTCAGGTGGGGACCGTGCACCCGACGGGTGCAACCACTAGCATTGGTCAGCTCGACCGGGCCATCCGGCAAGATGCAAGCAAGCGAGTACTCCGATGGCCACGGTGGCCGTGGTGCAAAAGGTGGGACCAGCTCATAGTGGTCTCCACCTTTCTTCCGAGCAGGCTTAGCCCCCTGCGGCTTCGGCCGCCACTCCTCCTTGATCTTTTTGTTCGGAGGCGAGGCTGGATGGAGTGGTGGCGAAGGGGTGGGAGGAGGGTCCTGCAAAATGGGAGAAGCAGAAGGATACACGACAGGCTCGTGTACCTGGTCAGAAATAGCATGCACAGGTGTGACAGCAATCATAGCACAGTGATCGAATTCAGTCACAAAAAAAGTAGCTTGTTCATTCCCAGCACGCAAGATCAGTTTACCATCATGCACATCAATAAGTGCCTTGGCGGTGACAAGAAATGGTCTACCCAGAATCAAAGGCACATCTACATCCTCATTTATATCCAGAATAACAAAATCAACAGGATATGTGAATGCACCTACATTAACAAGCAGATCCTCTATGATACCCCTAGGATGCACCACAGAACGATCAGCTAGCTGAATGCTCATCTTAGTAGGGTTAAGTTCACCTAGGTCTAGCTTTTTAAACAACTTATATGACATAACATTTATGCTAGCGCCTAGGTCTGCCAAGGACTTGCCTACATGCATGCTGCCAATAGTAAGAGGGATAGTAAAACTCCCTGGGTCCTTGCGCTTTTCGGGCAGCTTCTTCTGCAGGATAGCAGAACACTCCTCGCTCAGCAGCACTGTCGAGAGATCTCCAAGTTTCTTCTTGTTGGTGAGGAGATCTTTCATGAACTTTGCATACTTGGGCATCTTCGACAGTGCCTCCACAAACAGTATGCTGATGTTGAGCTGCTTCAACATTGCCATAAACTTGGCAAACTCAGTCTCCAGCTTGTCTTTGTGTAGGCGAGTGGGGAAGGAAAGCTGGGGCACATGCTCCTTAACCACTGGTTGTGGCTTGGGAGCATGGGGCTTCCTTCTCCACCCGCATTTCTGCATCGTCGGCTGGAAGTGCTGAAACAGGTGCTTCCTCCTGCCTGGCCGGGGCAGGATCAGCGGATATGATCTTGCTGCTTCTGGTAAAAATGGCATCCAGCTGCTGGTGCGGCTCCCGTGGATTGGAGATGGTGGTGGCAGGTAGAGTCCCCCGGGCCCGGGTAGTAATTTGGGGGGCTATGGCACCAACCTGGTTCTGTAAATCTTGCAAAATGGCACCCTGGTTCCTCTGTCCTGCCTCCAGTGAGGCTATGTTCTGGTCCACCCTTGTGAAATTCGTCTGACTGGTGGTCATGAATGCCGCCAAAATGTTCTTCAGCTCAGTCATCTGATTATCGGGAGCTGGAGCTGCTGCTGGCTCGGCATACTGACGCTGGGGCTGCTGGAATGGCTACCCTACCTAGGCTGGTAGGGCTGCTGCTGAAGTCCACCTGCTCTTGGGGAGTAGAAGACTCCCGCATAGCCTGGCAGTCCTCCACCAAATGATTCGGGCTCTCACACCACTGACATTGAGCTACTGGAGGTGTAGCCAAACCTCGGCCCGGAATAAGACTGTTGGGCTGCTTCAATGTCTGCACCAACTCAGCCACCTGCTGCTCGAGACCGGACCTAGCCTCCACGACGTGAACACCACGGTCCCGGGGATTTCTGCCTCTGCTGCTCTGCCCCCAGGAATGATCTCTGGCAGCCAAGGTACTAATCATCTGGTTCAACTTGGGTGGAGTCTTAGTGAGAATATCCCCTCCTGGGCATAGAGACTCAATCACCCTCTGGCTGTCCGGGGAGAGAGCACTGTAGAAGTTCCCCACTGTGAATGCATCACTGAAGCCATGATGGGGACACTGCCAGAAATATCCCATGTACCGCTCCCATGCATTACGAAGTGACTCGTCTGGCTCTTGGCGGAAGTGAGTGATCTCCCGCTGAATCTCTGTGGTCTTCGATGCTGGATAGTACATGTGCACGAACTTGTCTGCCAGATCTTCCCAAGAAGTGATGGACAATGGGGGCTGGGTCTCCAACCACCTCTTAGCATTCCCCGCCAGAGAATGGGGGAAGAGGTGAAGGCAGATTGCGTCATCAGGGACACCGTTTAGCTTGAACCCGTTCGTCAGCTGCAGAAACTGGGAAAGATGCACCCTTGCCTCCTCATCCTTCAAGCCATGGAACTGGATAGAGGATGTAATGAGTTGAATCCAGCATGGCTTGATCTCGAAGTTTTTTGCTGGAATGGGCGGATAGAGGATGACCGGGCGGATGTCAGCAATCCGTGGAGTGTAGTAGTACTCCAAGGTGGGACCCGGTGGTGGTGGATGATGATGAACCCCATCTGCCTGGGGTATGGGGTTGTTCCCCAAGATCTGATTCACCGGGGGAACCTGGAGAGGATTCCCCGGGGGTGGGTTGTGTTCGCCTTCCATCTCGTACTCGTCCTCGAACTCGCTGCTCAAATGGCCGTCTATGCGCTCTTCCGTAGCCAGTCTAGCTCGCTGTTGTCTCCTAAGTTGGCGGCAGGTGCGTTCAAACTCTGGCACCAACGGCAGTAGACCTCCCGACTGGATACGGGTCATGCACTATCTGCACACAGTCAAGCAATGCAAACCCGTGAAGGCACAAGTGGGAAAGAACAAACAATCAAAGCGAAAATGAAAATGCTAAAGTAACAGAAATCACTTTTCTTCAACAACCTAGCCGTCCCCGGCAACGGCGCCAAAAACTTGACTCACTCATACTGTCACTCTAGAAATTGGCCAAGTGTAACCACATCCTAAAGCGTAGTATAGCGGGTTTGGGTTTTAATGTCAACCCGGGTCCTAGATTTGATGACAACTCAGTGAATTCTTATTATCTAGCAGTGAAACTTTAGTGCAAGTCCAAATTAACAAACAAACAAAGCAAGTTAAACGGTTGTTTTCAAGTCGAGAGAGGTCACCCGGATATGGTTCCCCCTAGACTGCAGTTAAGCCGTATTGCAATTTACCAAGTTCAGTTTTCATGAAAGTTATACTGCGGAAGGTTCTTAAACAGTCTGAAGTCTCGACTAAAGGTCTCCAGACCCTCTCAATCTGAGTCTCCAGCGGGCGACTAACCTCCACCGGAGTAAACAAAATGAGGCCCTAACGAACCAAACCTCCACTACCGAATTGAATTCGGTACAGAATAGTGAATTGGCGACTTTAACCTCCATCGGAGTAAACAAATTGAGGCCCTAACGAACCAAACCTCCATTACCGAATTGAATTCGGTACAGAATAGTGAATTGGCTCCTCGACTAAAGTCGCCAATTCACTACCTTCAATTAAGGGTGCTCTATCAACCTAGGCAGATATTCTCTTTCTAGGTTAAAGCAGAAACAACAAGAATTTGATCAGGATTCAAGTCATTCAATCATTCAAGCCTCAATCGAATATAATCAAATCATAAAATCTGTACTTGGGTTCATACAATCAGACCTAACATACAAATCTAGGGTTTTCCATACCTAGATGAATGGGGAAACTACTCCGTGGAGAGAGAAGCAAAAGCAGATTCAGATGCGGAAATCATACTGTGAAGAATGAGTTTCTGCTCCTGGTCGTCGATCAGCACTTCTCCAAGCTCAAGCCGGGCTCCAATGGTGATGAAGATCAAGCTATGACACTTGGGAACTCTGGTTCGTCGCTTTCTCTCTCTAAGAATCGCTCTGTCTCTCTAAAACTCGGAACCCTTGATTTTTAGCCTTCTTTTCCTTTAAAAATCTGATGATCGCGATACCCGGTCGAAATACCCGGTCGGGTATTTTGGGTGTCGACCGGGTATGTGCTAAACGCGCCGTTTTGCCACAGGGGAAATCCCCGGTCATGGCCAATAATCCCCGACCGGGGATTTTTGCCACATGCCCGGGCCCCTTCTGTTTCTCACGGATGCCCAAAGCTTCAAATCCCCGGTCATGGCCAGATAATACCCGACCGGGTATTTCTGCTCATGGCCGGGTATTTTTGCTCTCCAGCACACTTCAAGCCTCACTTGCTCCTTTCGACCCGAATCTCGTTCCTTCGCCTCGATGCCAACGCTAAGCCCTGAAATATGACATAAACGCACAACCTAGCGTGAAATCGGCTTAAAACACGAGAATCAACATCTCAAACGGCTCAAGAATAGGGGTAAAAACATGTGCAATTATCGGTCTATCATTCACGGAACAAGAGATTGAATGTGTCCCCGTGGTAGTGGTTGGAGGAATCCT